CAACAGCGAGGGTTTAGGGTTTAGGGTTTAGGGTGTAGGGTTTAGGGTTTAGGGTTTAGGGTTTAGGGTTTAGGGTTTAGGGTTATCCGGACAAATCAAGCGGCAATCACGTCACCATCAGCAACAAGACCGGGCCGCTTACCAGTATTTGTAGCAGCCCTGGAAGTGAAGCACTGCGACAATAGCAGGTAGTGGTGGCGGCGGTGGTGGTGGTGGTAGTAGTACAGAGCAGCAGTACTAGGAGATCTTCGTGGTCCCGAATAGCCAAACATCCGAAGCTGTGCTAGGAGAGTGACAAGTTCGTCGGCATCGACATGGATGTCAAGGAGATCTTGATGAACGGATTCCAGGCGGGTGGTTGCTGCAGGAGTTTCAATGATTGGGAACCTAAACTCTAGACCCTAAGTCCTAAACCCCAAACCCTAAACTCTAAACCCTTAACCCTAAAACCCCTAAACTCGAAACTCCTAACCCTAAACCCTAAACCGGGGGATTATCGGCCTTGGGGCTTCCGGGTTCTCGAGGTTCCAGGTCACTCAGTAGGTTGTGGGCGATTGGGATCTAAAGCAGTTTGGGGGGTTTGGGTTTAGGGTTTCGGNNTTTCGGGTTTAGGGTTTTGGGTTTACCCCGGCAATGTCTTTCTTCGACCCTTGGTCCCAGGCAAGCAAGGGGCCTGAAGAATTAGTCATACCATCCCGCTGTACACGACGACCCTACACGCCAACAATCTTATTCTGTACTCTGAAAAAACGAAGGCCCTGTAGCAGTCTAGTCCTACTGGTTCCACAGGTCACCCCTTTAATCCGTATTCCAGCCCCAGAACACTTGTAGTTAACCATCCTCACTACCCACTGTGAGTTCCGAAGGACTGGCCCTAAACACAACAGAACCCGCAAGCTCTAATCCCGTGTTCGGGGAACCCTGTCCTCAAGTGCTACGCGTGCTAAAGCCCTTATGCCCGAAAACCACCCTACCTCTGCAGGTCAAAGCCACAAAGGACTTCTGCAATCAAGGCTCGGTCGTTGTTGCCGCTGTTGTCGTGGTTGGTTCTGCTGCTGCTACTGAACAACTTATCTCGAGGATGATACTTCCCACTTAGTACAGATGCCTAATTCATGCTTGTGACCACTATCATTCTCAGCGTTCCTGATTATGCTATACAGGAGTCCAAGACCCCCTTCGAATCGTTCAGGAGCCCTACATTACGCTCTTCACCCCCGAGCGTTCAGCCGAATCCATGGTAGACGAACGGTTTCGGAGCCATCCCGGGATTTCGGAACGAAGATCAACCCACATTGGGGCGTCTGTTGTGCTCGAAAGTCTGAACCCCGAGCCCTATACCTGCAAATTATTTTTCAAATAGCCCAGTTTTCTCGACCACTGGCCAAAGTTGTCAACACATGCGCGGGGGGGGGGGGGGGGG